TTCAGGATCTTGAACCAGTGACAGTGAAGGAAAGGCAATATATTTCCAAGTCAGAATGGTGTGTGGCTTGGAGGTGAACTTGAAGGTGGTGGTGTTCCCATCTATCTGCTGACCTTGTCTTTCTAGATGGAAGTGGTTGTGGGTTTGGAAGATGCTGCCTGAGGATCTTTGGTGAATTTCTGCAGTGCATCTTGTAGATAGTACACACTGCTGCTACTGAGCGTCGGTGGTGGAGGGAGTGAATGCTTGTGGGTGTACTGCCAATCAAGTGAGCTGCTTTGTCCTGGATGGTGTCAAGCTTCTTGAGTGTTGTTGGGACTGCACTCATCCAGGCAAGTGGGGAGTATTCTATCACACTCTTGACTTGTTCCTTGTAGATGGTGGGCAGGCTTTGAGGAGTCAGGAGGTGAGTTACTTGCTGCAGTATTCCCAGCTTCTGGCCTGCTCTTGTAGCCACTTGTTTATGTGGTGAGTCCAATTGAGTTTCTGGTCAATGGTAACCCCCAGGATGTTGATAATGGGGGATTCAGTGATGGAAACACCATTGAATGTCAAGGGACAGTGGTTAGATTGTCACTTATTGGTGATGGTCATAGCCTGGCATTTGTGTGGTGCAAATGTCTCTTGCCACTTGTCAGCCCAAGCCTGGATATCGTCCAGATCTTGTTGCATTTGAACATGGACTGCTTCAGTATCTGAGGAGTTGTGAACATCCCCACTTCGGACCTTATGATAGATGGAAGGTCATTGATGAAGCAGCTGAAGATGGTTGGGCTGAGGACACTACCCTGAGGAACTCCTGCAGAGATGTCCTGGAGCTGAGATGATTGGCCTCCAACAACCTGACCGACTTCCTATGTGTCAGGTATGACTCCAACCATCGGAGAGTTTGCCCCCTGATACCCATTGATTCCAGTTTTACGAGGTCACCTTGATGCCACACTCTGTCGAATGCAGCCTTGATATCAAGGGTTGTCACCCTCACCTCACCTCTGGAATTCAGCTCCTTTGTCCATGTTTGAAACAAGTTTGTAATGAGGTCAGGAGCTGAGTGGCCCTGGTGGAACCCAAATGGGGCATCACTGAACAGGTTATTTCTGAGCAGGTGCCGCTTGATTTCACTGTTGATGACACCTTCCATTACTTTCCTAATGATTGAGAGTAGACTGATGGGGTGGTAATTGGTCAGGTTGGATTTGTCCTGATTTTTGTGTATAGAACATACTTGGACAATTTTCCACATTGTTGGGTAGATTCCAGTGTTATAACTGTACTGGAATAGCTTGGCTAAGGGAGCGGCAAGTTCTGGAGCACAAGTCTTCAGTACTATTGCCAGAATGTTGTCAGGGCCCGTAGCCTTTGCAGTATCCAATGTCTGCAGCCGTTTCTTTATATCACATGGAGTGAATCGAGTTGGCTGAAGACTGGTATCTGTAATGCTGGGGACCACTGGAGGAGGCCGAGATGGATTATTCACTCGGCACTTCTGGCTGAAGATTGCTGTGAAAGCTTCAGCCTTATCTTTTGCACTGATGTTCTGGCCTCTTCCACCATTGACGATGGGGATATTTGTGAAGCCTACCCCTCCAGTGAGTTGTTTAATTGTCGACCATCATTCACAACTGGATGTGGCGGGACTGCAGAACTTAGATCTGATCCGTTGGTTGTGTGAACGCTTAGCTCTGTCTATCACTTGCTGCTTTCGCTGTTTGGCGTGCAAGTAGTCCTGTTTGGTGGCTTCACCATGTTGATACCTTATCTTCAGGTATGCCTGGTGCTGCTCCTGGCATGCCCTCCTGCACTCTCCATTGAACCAGGGTTGATCCCCTGGCTTGATGGTAATGGTTGAGTGGGGGATATGCCGTGCCATGAGGTTACAGATTGTGCTGGAGTACAATTCTGCTGCTGTTGATGGCCCACAGCGCCTCATGGATGCCCAGTCTTGAGTTGCTAGATCTGTGTGAAGTCTGTCCCATTTAGCACGGTGATAGTGCCACACAACACGATGGAGGTTGTTCTCAATGTGAAGGCGGGACTTTGTCTCCACAAGGACTGTGCGATGGTCATTCTTACTAATACTGTCATGGACAGATGCAACTCCAGCTAGCAGGTGAGTAAGGATGAGGCCAAGTATGTTTTTCCCTCTCACCACCTGCCACAGACCCAGTCTAGCTGCTATGTCCTGTAGGACCTGACCAGTTCAATCATTAGTTCTGCTGCTGAGCCCCTCTTGGTGGTGGACATTGAAATCCCCCACCCAGAGTACATTTTGTGCCCTTTTACCAACCTCAGTGCTTCCTCTAAGTATTGCTCAACATTGAGGACTACTGATTCAGCAGCTGAGGGAGGACAGTTTGTGGTAATCAGCAGGAGGTTTCCTTGCCCACGTTTAACCTGAAGCTATAAGACTTCATGGGGTCCACAGTCAATGTTGAGGACTCCCTGCGCAACTCCCTCCAGACTGTATACAACTGTGCCACCACCTCTGCTGGGTCTGTCCTGTGGGTGGGACAGGACATATCCAGGGATGGTGATGGTGGTGTCTGGGACATTGTCTGTGAGGTATGATTCTGAGAGTATGACTATGTCAGGCTGTTGTTTAACTAATCTGTGAGACAGCTCTCCCAATTTTGGCACTAACCCCCAGACGTTAGTGAGGAGGACTTTGCAGGGTCAATAGTGCTGTTTCTGCCACTGTCTTTTCCAGTGCCTAGGTCGATGCCAGGTGATCCGTCTGGTTTCATTTCTTTGAGACTTTAAAGTGATTGGTACAACTAAGTGGCTTGCTAGGCCATTTCAGAGAGCAATTGAGAGTCAACCACATTACTGTGGGTCTGGAGTCACATGTAGGCCAGACCAAGTGAGGATGGCAGATTTCCTGCCCTGAAGGGCATGAGTGAACCAGATGGGTTTTTCCCAACAATTGGCCGTGATTTCATGGTGATCAGTAGATTCTTAATTCCAGACTGTTTTCCCCCTAATGATTGAATTCAAATTCCACCATCTGCCACGGTGGGATTCGAACTCTGGTCCCCGGAACATTAGTTAGGTTGCTGGATTAATAGTCTAGTGATAATACCACTAGGCCATCGCCTAGACCATAGCTGCCACAAGCAGGCCTCAGAGGCCTGCACAGTTCGTAAGAAAATTAGAGGGAATGCTGCTCCTAGTCCTATTTCTGCTCATTTCATGAGTATCCCATGAATGGGTTATTCGTCTGCCCTTCAGTCTGCCTCTGTTGAAACTGGAAGTGAACAGTTTCATGGTGCGTTTGGTTAAACGTTGTCCATTTGCCATGATCCCTCACTCAGCCTGTTATAGAAACTAATTCAGAGATTTAACAGTCAATAAGCAAGTTCAGGCCCTGGGAAAAGAGACAAAAGGATAACTGGAAAGGTGTGCAATGGGATCGAGGGTGGGCATAATTGAAATTTTAATTTGGTGACTCTTCACCTGCAGAGGGAGCACTTCTTATCCATGCAGAGTTACATTTATATAAATGTTATAATTCTCACAGTTCCATGTCATGTATACTATGCTTATAATAGCCTTTCTCCCTCACCATTTAATTTATTGTGCAAATACAACCTTTCAAGAAGCTTTTCAATTGCAATATAGGCAGGCTGAAATGAAGGCACTCTGACCACAGGGAATGTAGACCTGGGAGACTGTGACCAGGAATATGGCCATCTCTACAATAAAACCAGAGTCACTGCTCCCCAACACACATACTGAGAGAAAATGGTAATCAGGTTCCCCTCCTCCATCACACCAACTATTCTTATTCCAAGGTGAAAATAATAGAAAATATCTTGGAAATACTGCAGCAGCAACCATTGAGAAAACCATTGATGAACTTCACAACATCAGAACATCACAAAGCACTGTACAGCTGATGAAATAAATTTGAAGTGTAATCACTGTTGTAATGAAGGAAACAATGCTACTATTTTGTGGACTGCATGCTCCTACAAACAGCAATAATCTCTTTTTTAGTGATGTGGGTTGAGAGATCAATATTGGTTAGGGAACAAGGGATAAGTCTCCTTCTCTGTGAAGTAGTGCCACAGGATCTTTCTTATTTATTAGAGGAGGTAGGCAGGACTTTGTTCAATGTCTTGACCAAAAGATAACACCTTCTAAAGTGCATCACTCCCTTTAATACTGCACTGGATCATCAGCTTGAATTTTGTGTTGTATTGTCTGAAGCTGTGAATCTACAATGCTCTGACACAAGTGAACAAATGACTGTTGACTTTTCCATTCGCTCCACCGAAGCTGTCACAAAGTGGGACGTCTGCAGACCGTTTACTGCAATTGCTGTTTTGTTCAGATTACCAGCAAGTGCAACTTCCTATGCTTGGATTGTTGCTGCTTTCAATGATGTTTAGCTAGAGACACCAAGTAGGACTGCTCTGGATTCGGTACTGTAGCCAAGTTAATCGTTTACCATGAATAGATTTTCTGTTTCTCATACTTGGCGTTGTGGTACAGATTGAAAGCACACATCAACATCAAGGTTATAATACAGAATTGTAATAAAGCGATGGGGTTGCAGGCTATTAGGGAAAGCTAACTGTGTGTGACCAGAGATATGGAGAATGTAATCATATGATATGGTCATAGAGCAATTGGTACATTATGTGCTACTTCAGTGAAGAAAAGCCTTGATTAAAACATTTTAGCACGTACGCCATGTCCTAGAATAAACCATACCCTGTAGTTCACACCTTTTTGTCTTAGGTACAGTAGGGGGAAGGGAATATATGAACCTCAAGAAGTTATTAACATTGTTCCTTCAGGGCTCTGAAAAACATGCTTCATTGTACATTAATAAACACCAACCGTCTGAAAGCTTTTCAAACAACTTTTCCCAGACATTCTACTTATTCTAAAAATGCAATTTTTCTTTTGCATTTCACTTGTTTAGCTCTTTTGGGTCCCCTGCAGCAAGTTTTCCACAATATATTGAAAATGAGAGACCTAGTTACTTAAGAAGCTAAAGTTTAAATACCCATTTTATTAATGAGAAGCTCTTAGTCTTGGAACCATTCTGGTTCTCACACTATACATATCACTTGGGCAAACAAGTAATGCCCCTGGGTCTATATCTTATACTATTCGGCGTCTTCAGGTAAAGGGGAAATCCATTGAAACCCTATGGTGTGGAAACAGGCCATTCAGCCCGATGAGTCCATGGGAAAATAGGCCGGGAAAGTTAATGATGATATTCGACAACTGTATGACCTTGAATGAGTCCTGTGAACATTCTTCTCAGGCTGAAGACAGCACCAGCAGCTTGTTTTTCTGCTGCTGTGTTTTCTGTACTAGCCAGCAGTTTTGTCTTCCGTATCTGCTTTCTCTGAGTTGGCTGTTTGTTTCACTGTATAAGAGAGAGAGAGAGAGTTTTGTTCCAGGAGTTGGACTTTGCCTCGGATCAGAATCATGAATTGTGCCAGAAATGAACCTAAGCCTCTAGACCAGCTGTTAATTGACGGGTCCCTGACGGGAGAAGGGTGTGAGACATTGCATTTTTTTTTCCATTTTTTACTCTTATTATTTTCATTATTATTATTTAATAAACACCCACATTTAAGAAAATTACTGTTGTTGAGTCTTCTCTTAACTATATTTAACCGAATCCAAAAGAACCGCTTGGATACACTTTGTGATCCAAGACACTTTCAGTGACGAGGATGGGATTCCGGAAAATATTTAAGAGAAGGGAAAGGCAACCTGTTGCCCCAGAGACCTTATGTATTCCAGGATGGAATGTGGCAGATTTGGGTCTATAGCCAACTTGTTAGCCCAATTAGGACCCCCGCAAGATTGGGGGATGGTTATAACAGGAAAAAGAGAGAAAGGAGGTTTATTCATACAGGCTGCCATACACGAGAGCTTGCGGGAAGTGGGCTTCCCCAAAAGCAAGGACAGTGGATATTGTTAACAGCTTTGCGTTCTATGTGTAGAGAATTAGAAGAGTGCAGGCCAAAAACAGGCAGCCTGAGGCCTCATTGATGGTGGTAGAACAGCGTAACATCACCCTAACAGAATCAGTTAAGACAGCACAGGAGAGATCTGAGAATGCAGAGGAGAAACAGAACCAGATAGTATGCCGTCTGGCGACGGTACAATAGCAAAAGAGAGCAAAACAGTGCAATTGGAAAATCGACCCAGTCAAAGTGCATGTGTTATTAACCTCACAATGGGACCCCTACCATTGGGATAGAGACATTTGATATTCATCTGATTCAGAGTATGAATGGACAGACGGGGAAGGGGATGCTCCATCTCCGGAGCTGTCCTCAGAAAAGGGACTAATAGCATGACCCCTAATAATGAATTAAGCAAAACAAGTTGGAAACTAAACGCACTAAATTTGAGAATAGTGAGAGAGTACTCCACGTCTAAATTGCAGGATTTGGGGTCACTCTTTTAGCAGAAGTCAGGTGAAACCTTGGCCTCTCGGCCGACATGGTCATGGGACCAACCTGTCGCTCATTTTATGCTGAGTGCCATAGAGCAAGGGAATCTGGGAGCATTAAGTGTTGATTCACATTTGAATGGCAATTTTAGAAATATAGGGCAAACTGGATCTTTGTGGAATGCTCTTCAACTAGCAGAAGGAAACAAGTACCCTTCCACAATAGGTTGGGAAGGTAATGTTGAAAAATGGGAGATCATACCAGAAGGTATAAACTGTTTGAGGGATTTGGCTACGCAGATGGGTATTATTCTCCACAGTTTCAGGATCCAGACCAGGAAGCTTTCACAGCCGAAATGAGGAGCCAGCTAATGCAAAGTGGTCTGAGCTGGATGAGATAACACAGTGTGGAGCTGGAGGAACACAGCAGGCCAGGCAGCATCAGAGGAGCAGGAAAGCTGACATTTCA